AAAAAAAAAAAAAAAAAAGTTTAAGTGCCTAGTAAATTCCCTTTCTTTGGATTAAAAGGATTCATTTTCTAATTTTCTAAAATTTACAGGTAAATTAGCTTGTTCTTAAACTGCAAGTTTTATAAGACTACTTTCATTTCTGTACCATCTTTTGAATTATATAATCACATAACCACAGATGGCATCTACTAATAAATTAGCTAGGTTTTATTAAGAATATTGTCCTGTCATTTTAAAAATATTAAAGCCTAAGTATTAAATATAGGTAGTGTAGTTATTTGCATTTGTGGCATAAAGTACTTAGTGGGTGCTGGGAAAATAATCAATGTTTGTTTTATATAAACAAAAACACATAATACCCATGTGATTTTTAAAAATCTACCAATATGATGAAACTGCATATAACTAAATATAGTCTTGTACCACATAATGACATTTTTGATCAACGACAGACCATGTATATGAGGGTGATCCTATAAGATTATAATACCATAATTTTACTGTACTTCTTCTGTGTTTAGATACACAAATACTTACCATTGTGTTATAACTACCCACAGTATTCAGTACAGTAACATACTATACAGGTTTGTAGCCTTGGAACAATAGGCTCGATACCATATAGCCTAAGCGTAGTAGACTATACCATCAAGGTTTGTGAAAGTACATTCTATGATGTTCATACAACAATGAAATCGCCTAATGATGCATTTCTCAGAGCATATCCCCATCATTAAGCAGCACATAACTATACATAATATACATACACATATACATTTTCAGGTAAAACTGGGGAAATCTGAGGAAGTTAGGTATCACTGTTAGTGTCCTGGTTGTGATATTTTACTATGTGTAAGATGTTACCATTGGGGGAAACTGGATGAAGGGTATATGTTATCTCTCTGTATTATTTCTTAGAACTGCATGTGAATCTACAGTGATCTCAAAGTGTTTTTTAAGATGAAGAGGAAAAAACATTATACCCATGCTATGTGCCTTAGTTTGTGTTTCGACCAAATTCAAATAGCATTTTTGATGCTTCATAAAACTCAATAAAAGGGACTTTTATTGGTAATTAAGGAACAAAATCAGTGAGATAAAATGTTTTAGATATTAACATCTAAATATATCTAATATATAAACATAAATATATGAATATAAATAATTATATTAATATAACATTAATTATATTAATATAACAATACAGTATATTGTTTGTCTTTAGTTTGCTACTTAATAGCCTGAAGCAACATGCATCATAGTTAGGTGCTGGCCATTATTTTCATTCTAAAACTATACTTAAAAACTTCACCAAAGCCTGAGGTAGTTGATGAAATACAGTAGCACTCAAAACAGAGGCTTGTGGCAGAGCCAAATCACTACATTGCTGCAGAAACATTTCTTTGATTTCATAGATCTATTCAGGAAGAATCTATCTTTTCCCCAGAACGTCATTTTGAAAATGCTTAGTTTTATTAACTTATTTAACAAACATGTAGTCATGTTGCAAGTATTATTGTCAGTTCTTTACGTATTTAAGCTATTTAATCCTCACAGCAATTCCGTGAGGTAGGTACCATTACTATTCCCATTTTACCGATGAGGAAACCAAGCATAAAAGAGTTAATTCACTTACTGTTATATAGCAAGTAAGTGGAAGAGCTGGGATTTGAACCCAGGTGTCTGACTTAAGTCAGTGCTCTTAACCTCTCTGCTATGTTGGTTTTCCATTTTTAAATATCAAGAATTTTATATATTACAGAGATATCCAAACACAAAAATATTTTCAAATTGATTACTATATGGACAGATTATGTAGAATTTTCAGTTTAATGACTGTGGTATCCACATGAACAAAGCAGTGCTTATAGGGACTGGTTATGATCTTGGAAATATGAATTAGAAATGGATGTTGTTTCACTCATCAATTAAAAAAAGATTTTACCTCTCATTTTATCCCCAATTATGTTGTCCTTTTGCATTTTTCTCACACAGTGCTACTGTATTTCATGAACTGGTGTATAAACAAACCAAAATTATTTCTTCAAATCAAGAACTTATCTATGAAGGACGACGCTTAGTCCTAGAACCTGGAAGACTGGCACAGCATTTCCCTAAAACTACTGAGGAAAATCCCATCTTTGTAGTAAGCCGGGAACCTCTGAATACCATGGGATTAATATATGAAAAAAGTAAGTTGGGATTTTTCTTGTTGTTTTACTAGCCATTAAAAAAAACAAAACCTGTCATTGTGGAAATGATCATCATCTTCATAAAGTTGATGACATTAATGTAGAACTTTCATAAATATTAAAGCTTTATGAATTACTAGTTGAAAGAGAGTAGTAATAAAATTGAAAAGCCTTAGAGACATAATTTGACTTCAAATATTTTGTTTCATACAATGGTAAAATAATTTGTCATGTATGTTTTACTGTAACTCTGCTTTAAGTGTTTT